GCCGCACCCGTAAAACCGGTGCCAGACGACATCAAACGTTTACGGTGCGGTAACCAGAATCACGCCACTTCGATGTACAGTGCGGTTAGAAATGTTTTCTCTTGGTCTCGTATGAACATTTTTCACTTGGATGGTACACGAGCGATTTTACTTGATAAAACCGACGCTGGTCGATGTTTACCGATGTTCTGTTAGATTCGCCTGATCTTTGATTTAGTTATCCCCTTTTTATTGATTAACGTGTATTAACAGTAGAACTTACTCAAATTGACCCATCCCTGAATTCCTTCATAATTATGGAGAAGATGGTTCTTTGAGAACTCACTAAAGATAGATTCGTAACAGTTTGAATTTACTAAAGACATCAAATAAATACTATTGTACCCGTAAGTATGTCACTTGTCTTGCCCCTTGCACTTTCTTTTACAACTACCCTCCATAGAATTATTTCGTATTATTCGCTACAAAAAGAAAGAAATGCTATTCATATAGACAATATTTAATTTGATTAGTACTTAAAAGAATCAAGTGACACATTTGTAAAATTCTATTTAAATCTTTCCCCGCGAGTCTGATGTTGTAGAGCAACGGGTTAAGATGTTTCAGCACGTACCGCCTAATATTAGTGAAAGATTCTGTATAAGAAACCTAGCATTCGTCTTCACTCGCACTCAACGCACAAGCATTCATTCTTCCGCACGCACTCGCCATTATCAAAGAATTAACCCTTCAAGAACAATCGGACAACTCGAAAACAAGAGAGTATCTCTGTCCGCGACGCGCGGCCCTGCCTAAAAATAAATGATCAAAGTGCAGTCGCGCCGGAGGGCACTCAATTTGCCCCGTAATAACGTGAGGGTTCGCCACACACGCGCGGACACACACCCCTCGGCGGAATCGCGGCAGGAGGGGCGAGAGGGACGGAGGAAAAAAGGGAAAAGTGTTCGTGGAGTTGAGGCAAGCGCGATTGAAATCTCCATACAAAACGGCCGATTGAAATACGTGAAATCGTTTAATCACAGGTTTATGTTTCCGGGAGCGCGAGCAACGCGAGAGCGGCGAGGGGACGGCGCGCGGGGACCGGTGAATATTTTTTTCCCCTCTTTTCCGACGGTTTCGCACGGTTCGATAGACTGCAATAACATCATTGTACATTCTGCGAGCCGGTGGAAAACGCGCGCTGCGCCGATTTGAATTCGGCCTCAACCCGTCCGATAGCCATTATGAAAAAAACACCGTTAAATAAAAAATCGGCCGAGCGTGCAAATGGAACGTGCTCATTGTCGGGGGAAGACCCTGGACGGGCGCGTTTTCATCGACCCTCGAAAAAAACTGAATGCAACCGCGCGCGCGCTCTTGAATTAATTCGTGTTCGTATGCACATGCAAGCTTTTTCCACCCCCTCCCCTCTTGAAATTCAGCTGCAGGGGGTATTTTATGCCATCGTAACCGCGGACCGAGTGAAAGCATCTTCGTTTCTCCTTTCACGGGTTCTCGTGCGGTGTCTCCTTCGTTTTTCACCTTTCTCTCTCTTCGTCTTCCTCTGTGTCTCTCACTTTTCTTTCTTCGTCTTTTCCCCAGCCCTTTCAGCCGGTCTTCAAGCTCGTTTCAATTTATCACGCTTGTTATCGTCCCCGCCTATGCATTGAGGTAATCTTTCTGCTCGGTTATACAGTGACGGGGAGGGGGGTGAATTTAATTATGCCCGACCGTGTATTACTTGCCGATCCGCGGGTGTGAAGAGGAATCGGGGGCGAGCGAGGTAGGCGTACTTCACGCCGAACAGAATTTACGGATAAAAAGACTTTGTCCCGTAATTGACGGCGTTCAATGGGGAGAACGCGGCGTTCAACGACTTTTGAAAGTGAAGGAACCGCCGGCTGGCAACTTAGGCGCGATGATAACTGATGAATGCCGTTGAATCCGGTGAATGGCGGAAAACGGTGGTTAATTTGTTCGAACGTTTGCCGGCTCCGAGGATGTTTCGCATTTTTTCAGGCATTCAGCCGCGGCGGGGTAAAATGTAGTAGAGCGGCGCGCTGCTTTTCGCGATTCGATGCTCGCCGATGAAAGTTTGTATGGCTTATTAGCGAAAAAGAGGGAGGTGTTTGGTTGTTGGTTGAATGTCGTGCAAAATGTGTCGCTTCGGTTCCTTGTGGATAATGATGCGAAAAGTTTGTGAAGAACGAGTGTGAGTTTATTGGGTATACGGAGTATTGTAGTGTGGTTGTTATATTGTGTTGTGCGTTTAGTTTTATTTTGTTATATTGAAGGTGGGAAAGTATTTTGTTCATTTTATGCTGTTAACGATTGGGATTAACAATTATTTGTACTTAGAAAAAGATACGATAAGATAAGTCTTTTGGAATATTGTATTTAAATGCTCGTATGGGGAGATTGACAACGTTACAAGAAAGAAGTTGCAAATTATAAATAAACTACGAATTCTAATAAGTAGAAAAATGACTCTAAATGAAATTCTGTTGCCACTATAAACGGTCTGAATAAATTAAGGATCACATGAAAGTAGAATTAATTTGATTAAAACTTCCACTTTACAATTCTTTAGAAAACTTCATATAATATAAATGCAGATGCATATTAAGTAAATGTTCATTAAATAATTAAGTGCGTTAATGTTTCAGGAATTCTTTCCTCGAAATTTTCACTGTAAAACATGAATGTTTAGAAAAAGAAAATTGACGTTTGAGATTTTTACCTTTGAGTCATCAGAAATCTGTTGTAAGACACGCGTCATGTCTTTCGGTTGGTTAATTTGAAGTAACTTAACTGTTGCCTCGGGGAGAATGCTCGAGGATGATTCGCAATCGTGTCGACAGTTTATTTGATCCCGATCAGTCTGCTTCTCGTCAAACAGGTGAACTTGTATAGAGCAGCATCGATGTCGGAATTTCCGTATCATAGATTCACGTATTGTCCCTGAAAAATTGTACAGTTTGCTTACGTTCGCGCTTAGAGAAACACGCACCGCTATGAAAATGAAAAGTTAAAGCGGACCTTGAAGTGCCCCAGACCAACTGCCGCGCTCTGTTCAAACTCAGAAACGCTTCGCCGCGGTCTTTGACCTTTATAATTATACACGAATAGATTCTGGTACTTATCTGTGAGCATATCCAACCCGCAGCTTCAAGTGCAGGGATTATTTAACACGTTCACTTCAACGTGTACCACCAGTGGTACACACTTAATTCACAACACTCAAATTAATTCACAGTAATAACGAATTTATTTATTAAATTATTTATTAACATTTACCCGCAATTGAAATCGGAAAGCTAGACATATAACGAAAGAATGCATTGCAATATCACTTTTGCAAACATTGCTTTGTTATTATGTGTATGGCGATATGTGATTAAACATGGAAGAACATGTCCCAATATGAATGTGTTAATATACAGGGAAAATTGTTTAAATGATAATGCAGCCACAATGATTCTGTGTGAAAGACTAAGTAAACATTTTTTGCAAATTGAATGAAAAATGTGTCATTAAAAATTCATCATCATTTATAATTATATATTATGGATATATAATTTGTTGACACAATAGTAAATATTTGTTATATTTTGTATACAATATTTATTTCAAATATTTAAAATATTTTTTTTAATTACATGTTCTTTTTAATATAAATGAATTAGTAAGATTCAACAGCGGCGGGGATTAGAGGATTAAGTCTCCGAAGCAAGTAGAAATAACGAATAATGGTCAGACATGTATTTTAAAATCCAGAAGCAATAAAGAAAATGTGATTTTTCTTCCTTTATCTATTCCTTCCTTTCTACATTATCCTTTTTATAATGTTATATGGTGTATTTTCTACAATATATAATTTTAAAATAAATGTATACGTTAAAAACATTATAAATTTATATAATGTAGATTTTTACTTTTGTATGGTATACATGTAATATAGTTTTTCAACTGTTTTATTCTTACTTTTAAGTTGGTCTTGAAATATTTCCTTCAGTTATCAATTTAGAACATTTTGCTAACTTACATACGTTAAATAATTATCAGTACACAAAATTTTCATTCAGAAGAGCTATCCTTTATAATTCAAAATTCATTCGCTATTATGGTGGAACGTAGGATTTCAAAAACCTTCTTTTTTTGCGAAAAATCTGCAGCAATAAATTAAATTCCACACCCTACTCCCGTACCAGCTATGATGCTAAAAAATACCGCTTGTCAATAAATTCTCAAAAAGAATGAATTCCAGCCGTCCATGTCATAAACCTCGCTCCGTTATAATTTCCAAATAAATGTATTTCCGCCGTAACGAAAAGAATGCAAAAGGTAAACGAAAGGAGAAGCGTGGTTGATTTAGGAAATTCGGTGATTCACCGAGAAAGTGCGCAGTAATCCAGCGAGTAAATTCAGAAACGATGAACAGTTGCTCGCTCTTTTCAATCGATCTTATTTAGCATGACAAACCGATTTGTTGTATATTAACTTGAGTGAAAATGAGAAGTCTCATTGGTGCTTGTCCTCCATAGGAAACAAAATTTTGTAATTTATTTTATAAATCTGTGAAATCGTAACCAAAATAATTTTCTTATTTTTCCAAAGAAATTTCGTACTTATATATTATACGAACTACCTTTGTTTTCTAACTGAAAATTACACTGATCAGTCATTTAGGCTAAGTCTTGGTTAGTATTTATTTAATATTATAACACATTGTTAATATTTTATTATTATTATTATTAAAATTTTATTATTATTACCATTATGACAATTATTATTAATATTTTATTTCTCAAAAACGAAAGTAGTTCGTATAATATGCGAATACCAAAATTTTAATCGAACCTCCTATGCTACTTTAGTTTTCTTTACAATAGTTGTGTCAACAAAGCAATCACGAAATTAAATAGTGTAAACATAAATATTTGGGATGAAATAAGTCATAAGACAAGGCGTTAATTTCTCATCGTTCGATTTACATTCGTTCCTTTTCTTCGCTGTTGCAGGACGCAACGAGCTGATTGCCCGTTACATCAAGTTGAGGACAGGCAAAACGAGAACGCGAAAGCAGGTCTCTTCGCACATACAAGTCCTAGCTAGGAGAAAACTTCGTGAAATCCAGGCGAAACTCAAAGTGGTGAGTATTGAATGGCCTCTCTCGTTCGCTTTCCTTAGCCAAGTATTTACTTATATTTTCTTTTGCTCGTATATACTTCCCTCCGCAGGCCTGAATAAATTGCGACGACAATCATACATTGTTCCCGTATCGGACTGAGAATACTTTTTATTGCCACTCTTCTGGACAAAATGGTAGCTTGTCATGTATAACCTGTCGGAATTCTTGAAATTGATTTAATGATTTGTTTACGACGCAGTAATATTAAATTCTTTAGTTCTGGGAAGAAAAATTTTGAAATAGGAATAATGAAATTATAGCATGTGAAGTAATTAGAAATATTAGAAGCATTCATTAGAGAGACGGTGCCCGTGAAAATCCAAAATTAACAAGTTTAAATCATTCTATAACAATTGTTATAATTGTTAGCCTATTTTTCAGATATTTTTACGAAACAATGATTTGGTAAAATTTTTCCCCTTTTTTTATTATATTAGTACAATATTCTAAAGTACGCTAATTATGCGGTATTAAAATGTTCTCTGGAAAATTTAATTTTGAAGCTCTTTCAACGTTCGAAATTAAAAACGCAAATTCAGTTTGATTACTTAACCGTGTCAACAGTCATTTTTTATCCGAATGTTCCCCAAAGCTTTGATAAACACAAACATGACAGTACATTTACACCAGAACGAAATAAAACTATAATTTCCTCAGTTTTTAAAATTTGCGCGCTATACTTGCATTATAACGTTTCCAAAATGTCAACCCTGAAAAGTATATAAAACAATCATTTTTTTATATTATAATAATTTTATATTGAATATAAAAATAATTTTTTTATATTCAAACATAAAACAAACATAATAGATGATCATGATAAAGGTAAGGTCAGTGGATGGAAAATAAGAAAATTTGAAATACACGAATAAGAATTTAACAATATATATAATTATAAATATGCTATCTTTTCATCCAGAAGTGTGCATTTATAAAATTATATATAGAATATTACGAAACTTCTGGTACAATCGGAAAGGAGATGATTTTTCAATTAAAAATATCTAACAAAATGTTCTTCATACGATTCATACGTTAAACACTTTTTACAACACGTTTACTACAATTTTCCAATTTACACGATAAATCATCCCTCTTCCGGTTTCACTGCAACTTCCATATCACTCAGCATATTTCTCTTTGCAATCTGCGGTAGTTAAAATACTTGAAATCGAATGTATTGGAAAACGGTTGATCGTCCGCCCAATATTCTCCATTTTTATCTGCGCTTTCTATTCTCCCTTACAATTTTTTATTCTCTCCTTACCAATTCGGTAATTCAGATTATGTGACAATTGGATCCGATGCATATGTTTAGTACTAGACTGTTTGATTTCAAATCAATGCAAATTCATAAACCGTTTCAGTGAAACTCGATACTTGCTCATTCGTTTTCTCTTTCATTCTATCATACGAATCTAAAATATTGGCCCTTTGAATCGAACAGGCTATTATGCTTATAAAACAAAGAAAATAAAAACAAATGGAATTTTCTTTTATCGCGGTGCCGAATTAAAATCGAGGA